TTTCCCAGATGTTTTGTCCTATAAGTGGAGGTAGGAATGCCTGTCTTAGATGGAGGAAACATGTCAGTCTCACTTGTATTGCATCAGGCACACAGGAAGTTCCAAAGAAATGTTATTAGCAGGATTCTATTAGTAAGAGGATAAAATGCAGGGTTTTAAGCAAAGAAGAAGCAGGTTATTTTGCTTAGTTGGTGGCCACAGTAGAAGTTGTTCTAGAAGAGCAAGCCTGGAGTCTAGGAGACAGAGAAGGGGCAGATTTGACATTTAAAAGTGAAAAACTGAGAATACTGTGATATGCTTTGGTGAAGAGGTGAGGAAGAAAAGAGGGTGTAAAACGGTCCCTGGTAAAATGGTGAGGGTGTAGTGGTGTGGATTAGAAGGAGCTTGACTGCTGTGCCTCCCATTTCCCCCCCGCCAAAAGTGTGTGAATGGTCCTGTCACTTCAGGGCTGGAGTGATAGCCTTAGTCCAGGACTGGTGGATCAGATATTTGATTTTGTCCAGTCTGATGAGTGTGAAATGGAGTCTCAGTGTGATTTCTGTCCCCAGGTTTTAGGAGGTGGGGCATCTTGTAATTTGTTGACTGGCTATTTGAAGAGTAGGAGCAACTTCCCTTCTGTGGTTTGCATGCTCATATCTATTGCTGAAAGAGGAGAAAAACCCTGTTTTTTCCATCAACTCAGAATTCTTTTCGACAGCTTGGGGAATGCCTCACTGATGATGCTTAATAAGTGGTTTAGAATTAACAGAGAGTAAAACACGGTATGTACTCCCGGGAACTGGAGGAGAGAAACAGGGCAGCAGATGGAGGGATCAGAGGAAAGTCCCTCTCCTGGTCCAGAGAACACAGGTCGTAGGAGGATAAAGATGGAGCAACCACTGTGGGCTGAGTTACATGAGAAGGAAGGATGTGACGTGAAGCTTGAACTCTGCAGAGACAGGGAAGTTAATGAACAAGTGCAAATGCCTGATGCAGGAGCATGCCTGGTTTGGTCAAGAGCACCAGCAAGAGCAAGGGGAGAGTAGAAGAGATGAAAAGTAAGATGGGGAAAAATGGAGGGAAGGATTCAAGGTGATAATCAATAGATAACTTGCAGCTTCAAAACACCAAGATTTTCTTTTAAAATCAATAGCATTATTCACAATGCTGAGTCCTTTCTCAGTTTCTATTGAAAGGGGAAATTATATTTAAATGCAAAGTCCTAGCATTCATTCTTCTGAAATTTTGAAATATTTAATTTAATACCTTCCCATACATTATACCTTAGCCATTTCATTGTCTAATTTATCTGATCATCTCAATTTTATTGATATTTGTCCCACAAAGCTTCAAAGACATATTTGCACCAATTACCAGGATTTAATTATTTTCTTTTTACTCTTGTCATCAAACATCTTCATTTTCGTAAAATTTAGTAGAGGACTGCCATTAGTTCCCCTCCTGTATGGGGGGATTGATATTTTTTATTGGTTTTCGATGACATATCATAGTTCTTCATTTTAAAATGTCTTACACTTCTATTTTTTCATTTCCTGACTTAATTTTGTGTTAAATACATTTTGTGTATCAAATATCTGGATATTAACTATTTGATAACCAAAGCATATTTTTCTGTAAAATAAAGTATTGCTATCCCTCTCAGAACTGCACTTAGTGAAGTAAAATGCTAGACACACACACACACACAAAGATATCTCTTTATTTTCTAAGTGCTTATCCATTCCTTTCTCACAGTCTTTATTGAGAAGAACTTACAAAACTTTACATGATTTTCAGGCTTTTCTTGTAAATCCAACTGGTCAGATTGTTCATCTGTATCCAAATAGTCTTCTAGTCTCACTATTTTAAGATGTTTTCTCTTTTCAGTAAGATTTATGCCACAGATAGGTTTATGAGTCCAAATGTCAATGTCATGCCACACCATATTGTGGATTTATTTCAAAATGCTGACTATGATGAGTCTAGGTAATATCCATTTGATTTTTTGTGATGAAAATTTTTAAGATCTACTTGTTCAGCAACTTACAAATATGGAATATAATTATTATTAGCTATAGTCACCATGCTGTATATTATATCCCAGCACTTTGTTTTATATCTGGAAGTTTTACCTTTCCCCCCCTTTTAAAATTTTTTAATTTTTAAAAATTTTTTACATCATTTTTTGTACAGTAATTGGTTTCTCCCCTCAGGTGTAGTAGTTCCTGTAGTTCTCCCACCACCACATCAGCTGTGATCCATCACCAGAGTCCCTTGTGTTCTTCCCTCCCCTGTTTTGATCCCCCTCCTCCCTTGCATTCCCTTGCTGAATGCCTCAGATCTATGGTCAGTCTGCAAGTTTAGTCTTTTTTTTCCTTGACCTTTTGTTCGGGTTCTCTATATTCCACATACAAGTGAAACCATCTGATATTTATCTTTTTCCTTCTGACTTATTTCATCTAGCATAATCCTGGAAGTTGTACCTTTTGAATCCTTCACCCATGTCACCTATCACCCACAACAAGTCTCTGGAAACTACCAATATATTTTCTGGATCTATGAGCACAAGAAAAAAGATTACACAAGTAATACTGGTTTATAACATTATATAAACTTCAGATGTACAGCGTTTTAACTGAACTTCTGTATATATGTTATGATAACTACCAAAAGTCTAGTTTCCACTCGCCACCATAAAATTGACCTGCTGTAACAAACTTGCCTGTCCCGTATTCCACTTTCCCTTTTGTGGTTACTAATTTATCTCATCTAAGAGCTTGTCTTTTTTTGCTTTGTCCATTTGTTTTGCTATTTTTTTTTGAGTTTAGAAAACTCGAAAAACTTTGAGTACAACTTTATATTCATCATATGTATATACTAGATTATAATCACCACCAAAATTTAGTTTCCATCCAACACTGGAAACTAAACAATATAATTGACCCCCTTTATAAGTTTTGATTCCACATTTAAGTGAAATAATATGGCATTAGCTTTTCTTTGTCTGACTTATTTCACTTAGTGTAATGCCTCAAGGTCCATCCGTGTCACAAATGAAAAAAATTGTCTTTTCTATTGCTGAATAATAGTCTTTCATGTATGCATGTATTGGTGGACAGTGATTGTTTCTCTGTCTTGGCTATTGTAAATAATGCTGTATTGAACGTGGGGGTGCAGATATCAACAAGAGTTAGTGTTTTCATTTTCTTTGGATAAATACCTGGAAGTGTAATTTCTGTATCACGTGGCAGTTATATTTTTAATTATTTGAGAAACTTCCATACTGTTTTCCATATTTCTATATCCATTTTTAATTTAAAAATTATTTTTTATTTCAAAAATATAATTAATTGCTTTGTGCATGTGTGTGTGTGTGTGTGTGTGTGTGTAGAAGAATTAGGGTATAGCCCAGATGTTGGGGTGGCGGTGAGAGGACTCACCAGAGACAGAGCAGGGAGCAGAACAGGCAGATCTACTGAATACACTGCTGAGGAGAACAGCAGGCAAGACAGGAGAGGTCTGCTGCAGCATATGTGGGTTAGCTCCCTGGCTGATTATTGAACACTGGCCTTAGCAGTGACAGCACTGAGACTTAACCCCTAGGCCACTAGGAAGGGCCCCCAAAATACAAATTAATTGTTATAATTTACAGATAATCTCACACAGAAGCAAAACTCTAGATTACTCTAGCATCTACAAATTCAACAGTTCCAGAGCTTCCTTTTATTGTAAATGTAACTTCTTCTCTGTGCTCTCACAAATATAAGAGTAATATACATGGTATTTCATAAGAACATTTAAATTTTACCCAAACTTTATTCCCTTTTATTATGATATTAAAAACTGTTTAATAATAAATTACTGAATATATTACAATTATCAAATTATAATACAATTATCAAAACACCACACACTTACAACAGAAAAAATTCAAGGTACAGGCAACAAAAATCAAAGTAAGCCTTAATTATTTTAAACCAGTGCCAAGCTAAAAATATGGGATAATGATAAATTGGTTTCTCTCCTAAAGGACAGAGCATTTCATAATGAACAGGTATGCTTCTCAAAGGGAAAAAAGGCCAAAGTAGCAAAAAGCTTCACAAATGTTTCTTAGATGTCACACATGCAACACATTTCATCAGTTTTAAATATTGAGTTTACATTATAATTTTTATTGAATTAATTTGACTATGTTTGAAGGTACTATAAGTGTGTTTGCCAGAATGTGCCAGATTTCAGCACAGGGCAACTAAACAGACAGTATATTGCTCTTGGGTTAAAGAGGCAGTCATGGTTGCACCTGACATAAAAGCACAGTTGATGTATTTGACCAGTGTTGAGGACTGGTCAACAAACCAGAGAAAGGTACAATAGCTGGATGGATATTTAGGATGAAAAAGGGATTCTTTCAAATATCCTTGACTTAGTTTGGATTCCCCCTAATGCAAGCCCTGATTCAAGGATCTGAGTGCAAATAGCTTATTTAGGACATAATCTCAGGTGACACAATAGCATTAGGGACTTGTGGTAGTGGATGATCAATTTTTTGCTGTGGTAAACTGAGGGGTAATCCTTCTAGGGATCCTTGAGAGACTACAGAATGCACCCTAGAACAACCTCACTCAGGGGAGGTGAGCCCAGAGGATTCTTTGTCTCTTGCTGGTAAAAGGTGATCCTGGGGTGTCAACTCCCTCTAGTTCCATGTTACCTGTGGCAGACTGAGCCCACCTCTGCATCACATGAAGCCCTGGAGCATCAAGGCACTAGTGGTAGAGGTGAGAAATAGTCAGCATTTATGGGAACTGTCAACCAAATGCAGGTGTTATCTTTCAGGGAGGTTATAGTGGATAAAATGGTGTGTTAACTAACAAAAATGGTGTAGCAAAGACAGGAGGGATTCTGTTTCAGGAGAAAATGGGAAGAACTGACTAATGTGAACTAACCTGGGCAGTGGAAGAGCTGCCTTGGTCAGGATCCATAGACATCCCCTCCTTTTTCTTTCTGATTGATCCAGGATGACCATGGAAGGGGACAACCTCACCCAGGTCTCTGAGTTCCTCCTCTTGGGCCTCTCAGAGGACCCCAAGCAGCAGCGGCTGCTCTTCATACTCTTTCTGAGTATGTACCTGGTCACGGGGCTGGGAAACCTGCTCATCACCCTGGCCATCGTCACCGACATCCGACTCCACACTCCCATGTACTTCTTCCTGGCCAACTTGGCCTTTGTGGACATTTGCTTCACCTCCACCACCATCCCCAAGATGCTGGCCAACCATGTCACAGGACACAAAGGAATCTCTTATGCTGGGTGCCTGACACAGATGTTCTTCTTCATCTGGTTCATCTGTATTGACAGCTTCCTGTTGGCTGCCATGGCCTATGACCGCTATGCTGCCATCTGTCACCCCTTACACTATGCAACATCTGTGACACCACAGCTGTGTATTCTCCTGGTGGCAGCATCCTGGGCTGCAGCCTTGGGGAATTCCCTGACCCATACGCTATCACTGACCCGCCTTTCATTTTGCACCAACAACCAGGTTCCAAACTTCTTCTGTGACCTAAGCGCTATGCTGAAGCTGGCCTGCTCTGACACCTTTTTCAACTATGCAATGGTGAACACCGTGGGTACTCTTCCCCTATTTTTCCCCTTTGTGGGCATCCTGGTCTCCTACATGCGCATCTTTGCTGCTGTGATGAGGATCCCATCCACAAAAGGCAAGTGGAAGGCTTTCTCCACCTGTGGCTCTCATCTCTCTGTGGTGTCCCTGTTTTATGGGACACTCATTGGGGTTTATTTCAACCCCACATCCTCCCACACGGCCCAGAAGGACACAGCTGCAGCAGTGATGTACACTGTGGTCACTCCCATGCTGAACCCATTTATCTATAGCATTCGCAACAATGACATGAAAGGTGCTTTGGGAGCCCTCATCAACAAGAAGTCATTTTCTTCTCGGTGACTACTGCATTGGGATGTCCAAGTGTCCTGAATATTTTACCACAGCCTAATCTTGGATTATTTTCTTATTTTTGTTTCACGTGTTTATAACTTCATTCTTCAGTTGTTATTAATTGAACATCTACTGCATTTTAAGCACTCTTCTAAGGGTTGATGGTCCAGCAGAAAATAAAATCCCTGACCTATGTCATTTATACTGCAGTTTGAAGAATATATAATCATTAAAAGGGAGTGTCCTGAAAACCAGAGGTGAGATCAAGTCATTCTTTGGATAAAAGTTCACTTTAAGTTGCTGTAACATACAGGCTCAAAATGCAAAGGCTCAAAGTTAATAACATTTCATAGACTTTACTTTTTTTTTTTTTTTTAGCAAAATAGTATCTTCAAAGCCACCAGGGATCCATTCTACTTACTTCTAGTTCCTTCCATTGCTAGGAATCGCATTCGTATGCCTATTTAATTTTCAGAATTTGCTTCCTTGAATCCTATGTCGTTCTCACTCTCAGTTTATGGTCATCTGAAATAATAAATAGCCTTAGGTGGGAGATAAGAGCCCTATTTTTTTTAAAGATGTATTTATTTATTTATACAAGCACTGGGTACAGTCAGAAGCACGGGAGGGTGAGAGAATTCACCAGAGCCAGAGCGGGGAACAAAACAGGCAGACCGACGAAATACACTGCTGAGGGGAGCAGTGGCACAGCAGGAGAGGTCTGCGTGCCATGTGGGACCCTCACTGGCGGCTGGGGATTGAACTGGCGCTGCAGAAGCTGCGGGCAGCTTCGCAGCCCAGTGCTTAACCGCTGCGCCACCAGGGGAGGCCCGATTAGAGCCTGATTATTGCTATTTTGGAGGACTGGAAGCTATTGACTCAATCTTGAGAAGTTTCTGATTCTGAAAAGTAGCCAATTGTCTAAGATCCTCTTTCTCTTGTAGTTCCTAACTACAAGCAGCAGTGAGTAACCAACTCACAGTGATGTTTAAGCTATTTCCAATGACTTCTAGAAACACAGACTCAGTGGAGATATGACCCTTTTTCAAGTTATTACAGGTGATATTACCAAGGGTACCCTCTGGCATAACAAGGACCGTCAACTAGCTAACCAATCTACAATATTTATGTCTTTATCATGAGGCCACTGAGCTAATACAACTATTCCCTCTTTTTTGTGATGAGAATACCCAATTTCTGGTACAGGTTTCTACATTAGTTAAGATGAATAGCTTACCTTCTATAGGAAAATATAGTAATAGTTTTCTAGGGCTTCTGTAACAAAATACAACAAAGTTGGTGGCTTACACAATGGAAATCTACTGTCTCACATTGCTGAAGACCAGAAGTCCAAAATCAGTGGGTTGGCAATAAGGTTCCTTCTGAGCCTTAAGGGAGAAATCTGTTCCATGCACTCCTGTAGCTTCTGCTTGTTTACTGGCCGTCTGCAGAATTCCTCCACCTGTTGTTATCCCTTCATCTTTACATGGCATCATCCCTGTGTGCTTGTTTATTTCATGAATGTTGTCTCTTGTAAGCACAGTAGCTATATTGGATTGGGGCTGACCCTACTCCAGTATTACCTCATCTTTATTATGTTTGCAACAGTCCTGTTTCCAAGTTAGGTCACATGCTGCAATTTGGGGTTAGGACTTTAACACATGAATTTAGGAAGAAAACATCATTCAAAAAATAAAATTTCCTTTAAAGAAAAAAGACTAAAGGAGTATGGCTCAAGCAACATAGTTTATTCTCTCTCATGTATTCTCTCTATCTCTTTCTTTCCTTCCCCTCCCCGTCCAAGAGTTCTAGGTCAGTGAGTGACTGTTTCTTTAAATCATTCAGAGACCAGCTTCTCAACATCTTGTGTCTTGTTCATTTCCAAGTATATTATTGTTGTCTAGAAGGTTAAAACTCAAACACTGGATTAGACAAAAATAAGAGCACAGGGGAGGCAAGCTGCGATGTTAAAGTTCTATGTATTTCAAACATTCCATGATGGGTTAACCTAGCGGTGAGGGAGGTGGAATATGTGATCATCCAGGTTTCTGGACTGTAATTCTGTTATTACAGAAGGAAAAGTAGATTATCATGGAGAGCTAGTACTCCACCATACATCTCTATAGCCACCAACTACACAAGAAGCATACTTCTTCCCCTCCCCCACCCATGGAATCCACACTACCTGATTGTGAAGAAGTCCTACTTCTCCAGGAATATGATCCCATTCGTTTTGTATCCCACAATCTGACTAAAATATAGGATGAAATGTTTATCCCCAAATCTAATAATTTGTAAACTTAAACACCATTTACTTTGCCCTCCCATTACCCAGTGTATATTATGCAATCACAACAATAATCAAATCCTGTGTGGCAGGATTTATTTAAACATTAGGGAAAAGCTTTCATTTTTCACCATTGAGTAAGTATGATGTTAACTCTGAGTTGTCACTGTCCTTTATTATGGTGAAATATATTCCTTCTTTACCTGTTTTAATTGGCATTTTTATCATAAATGGATTTTATTGTAAATTGAATATTTTTATCAAATTTGGAACTTGTCAAGTGTTTTTCCTGGATCTATTGACATTATCATGTGGTTTTTGTCCTTTTGTGCTGAAGTGGAAAATTACTTCAATTGATTTGCATAGTTTGAACCACTCTTGCATCCCTTGAGTAAAAGCCATTTAAGCGTGGTCTACGATTCTTCTATTATTAAATTGTGCTTGCTAGTATCTTGCTGTGGAATTTTTCATCTAAGTTCATTAGAGAGAGCTCTCTTTTTTTAATATCCTCTTCTGTTTTTGGTATCAGGGAATTGTTGACCTCATAAAATGTATTTTTTACCTTGCCCTCCATTTCAAATTTTTAGAAGAATTTGCTTAAAGTGGAATAAATTCTTCAGTTCTCTGGGAAGACTACATTGTCCATTTTGACTGTGGTCTCTGGTTTTGCCATCTGTGTACATTCACCCTTTGTGGCCATGTCTGAAGACAATGTGGAAGGAGATTCTCTTGTTGAATAGTCCTCAAACATCATATCCAGGTTTCTCTGTGCACACAGGGAAGTGGTATTGTGAGGACTTTAACAAATCATTTAATCCTTTGTGCTTATTTTCTCAAATGAAATATAAAGTTAATAGGACTGGATGGGTGATTGCCACCAAGATGTGGTGCCCTGGAGCTGGGTTTGTCCTAAAACCTGTGTGACCCTGCAGAGACCCTTAAAGAAATCCTGCCTCAACCAAGAGCTGAAGCTGATCAGCAAGTATGGATGTTGGAACAAAGGTGAGGTCTGGAGGGTCAAATTTACCAAGGCCAGTGTCCACAAAGCTGCCTGGGAGCTGCTGACACTGGAGGAGAAAGAGCCAGCCTGTATTTGAAAGCAATTCCCTGATGCTCCCATTTGTCAAGATTGGGGTGCTGGAGGAGGGCAAGCTGAAGCTGGATTACAACCTGGGCCTGAAGATTAGGACTTCTGCAAACCCAGGGCTTAGAACTGGGCTTGTCCAAGTCCATCCACCCATGTGCTGAGGTGCAAGCACCACAGTGGGTCCCCGAGCGGGTGATGAACATGCAGGTCCTCATCGCTGCCTGGACTCACGGAAGCACGTGGACTTCTCCCTTTGCTCACATTATGGGGGGTCACCATCCCACTCTGTGAAGAGCAAGACAATCAAGAAGGGCCTGGGTGAGGCTCCTGCAGTGATGAGGAAGAAGATTAGGAGCCTTGTCCCTTCCTGGGATAGTGGAGTGTCTAGTTTTGTGTTCAGATAGAAAACACATCAGTGCTTAAAACAATATATTAAAAAATTAAGTTTATAGCACTTAGAACATAATGCTGTTTAAGGAATTAAAAAAGATAATGTGGATACATAACTGGCAAATGAGACAATTTTACTTTATTTTATTTTGTTTTTATTTACATATTTTTATTATTTCTTTTTTATTTTAAAATTTATTATATTTTACACTTTTTTAGACAATACTTGCTTCCCCTCAACCCCTCATATTGAGTCAAAATCAACACGCAAAAATCAGTAGCCTTCCTATACACCAACAATAAATCTGAAGAAGAATAAATATAAAAAAATCCCTTTTACTATCGAAACAAAAAAAATCAAATACTTGGGAATAACTCTAACAAAAGAGGTAAAGGACCTATACAAAGAAAACTATAAAACACTGTTAAAGGAAATAGAAGAAGACACAATGAAATGGAAAGACATCCCCTGCTCATGGATTGGAAGAATAAACATTATTAAAATGGCCATCCTACCAAAAGCAATACACAGATTCAATGCTATTCCAATCAAAATTTCAATGTCATTCTTCAAAGAATAGAGCAATTATTGATGAAATTTATATGGAACCACAAAAAACCCCGAATAGCCAAAGCTCTCCTGAAAAAAAAAGAAGGGAATGGAGGGATCACACTCCAGACTTCAAACTTTACTACAAAGCCATAATCATCAAAACTGCATGGTACTGGAACTAGAACAGACACACAGACCAATGGAACCAAATAGAAAATCCAGAAATAAACCCACAGATTTATGTCAACCAATCTTTGACAAAGGAGCAACGAATATGCATTGGAGCAAAGAAAGTTTGTTCAATAAATGGTGCTGGGAAAACTGGGTAGCTAAATGCAAAAGAATGAAGCTTGACCACTACCTCACACCATACACAAAAATCAACTCAAAATGAATTAAAGATCTAGACATAAGACCTGAAACCATAAAATACATAGAAGGAAATATAGGCGAAACACTACGTGATATGCACATCAAAGACATCTTTACAGACACATCACCCAAAGCAGTGATAGTGAAGGCAAAGATAAACAGCTGGGACTACATCAAATTAAAGAGCTTCTGCACAGCAAAAGAGACAATAACCAAAACAAAGAAAAACCCCACCGACTGGGAGAACATTTTTGCACACAACACTAATGATAAAGGACTGATCACAAAAACCTGCAAAGAGCTAATGAGACTCAACAACA